CCCAGGACAAAGAGTCCCTCTTCCACTTCTTACATGATCTGTTCCATCCTAGCCCCCAATTCTTGATCCATTTTTTACAATCCTTTTTTCTCTCTCTCCTGAAGACAAAACCCTACTTAACCAAATCACCTGCAGGTGCATCAGCTGCCAACGCACTAACCCTAATACCCCCCTCAAGGCCCGACCCTTCCCGGCTCATCAAGCAAGGGGTAATGTCCCCGCCACAGATTGGCAAATAGACTTCATTAACATGCCCCCCATACGGTGTACCAGATACCTACTCATGTTAGTGATACATTTTCAGGATGGGTCGAAGCTTTCCCCACCACTAACAAATGAGCGTCCGCGGTTGCCTCTATCCTCCTCACCCAGATCTTTCCTAGGTTCGGGATGCCCACCTCCCTCCAATCAGATAACAGCCCTGAGTTCACTGCCCAAATTATCCAGAACCTCTCCAAGTCGCTCTCACTCCCCTGGCATTTACATTGTCCTTATCGACCACAGGCTTTGGGAAAAGTAGAAAGAGTCAATAGGACTCTAAAAGACATCCTGACCAAACTATCTCTAGAACTACACCTTGACTGGGTTCGCTTACTTCCCTTAGCTCTACTCCACATTCGGGCCCTCCCAAAGAACCCTTCCTTGTTGTCGCCCTTTGAGATTATGTACGGCTGCCCAATTCTACCCCCGCGGCTCCCTTCCCACAAAGGACCAGTTCCTCCCAATATGGCCCTTCCGCTACTTTCTCTCCTCTGCACTGAATTGTGGAAATATCAGGATTGGCTCCTTCCTGATCCATCCGCCTCCCAAATTTCTCCTGTCTTACAGCCCGGCCAACTAGTGTTTTATAAGCTGCCAGAGGATCGGCCCTCTTTCACCCCAAAATGGGAAGGTCCACACCCAGTTATTCTCTGCACCCCCTTGGCCGCCAAGCTCTCACTGCCTGATAACTCTGTCACCACTTGGATTCATATCTCCAGGTTCAAACCAAACACCCAGGACCCACCTTGTCTGGACACCCAAGACCCATCAGTCACAACCCAGAGTCCTTTGGATACAGCCCAAGATGCTGTCTACTCTACCACGCCTCAACCCTCTGATCCCTTGAAACTCCACATCTCCCATTCACCCCCTTCGCCATCCATACCCGAATCATGGTTTTCTCCTCCTTTACTGCTCTCTCACTTTTTTCCTCATTCCTATTGTCTTCCCCGCCACCCCAGCCTCCTTTGTATGGCAATTCAAAGTCAAACAGACTTACACACAGCATCAAACAAAAGTTACTGCCTTCATTGCCACATCAGACTGCCCTCTGAAAAGCTGCTCCGAGCCTTTATACCTCCACTTTCCTCCCTCCACCAAAGTGTTCACTAGCAGCTACCTTTATTCTCCCTACCTCTACTTCCTCTATGACCAAAAACAAGCCTATTGCAGGCGATGGTCAGACACCTATGGGGGATGTCCCTACTGGTCTTGCACCATTCACTACATGGGTGACTCTCGGTATCCACAGTATTACTCCTCCAACCATTTCATAAAATATCCCTACAGCTCATTCTCCTTATCAATCCCTGATCCCTGGGACCCTCGATGGGCCACTGGAGTCACAGCCTCAGTATACTATAGGGGGTCCTCGACCCCCCACGGTACCCTTCATCTCTCTCGAGAGTATGTTCCTTCTCATTCCTAGATCTCTCAAGTTGCATCAGATATTGGACATTCCAAAAAAGTCATTATTCAAACATTTGATGGCGCCTCTTCATCTTCCTATCCCCGCCCCTCTTCTAATTTCTCCTACTCTTGGTTACAGCTCATTCAAGACACCATCATATTTCTCAATCACACCCTCAACACTGCCAATTGTTTCTTGTGAGCATCACTACAGCACCCACTGCTGGCCGCCGTGCCCCTTAATATTTCCAACTACTCCTTCCATGCAGAAAGACAACCCCTCTGCCCCCTAGCAGACATACCCCTATGGGAACCAGAATACGCATATAATCTCACCATCCACCACTGGGTAGGCCCAACTCCACCTCCCTCCAGCACACTTCACTGCCTCTCTACACCCCCACCTCCGACTCTAAAACTTTTACACAACCAGGACACTTCTTTTGGTGTAATGGCAGTCTTTTCAACTCACTGCCTCCCAACTCCAGCACACCCTGCATTCTCGTCACCCTAATCCCACAGCTTACACTTTACAGTATGGCAGAATTTCTTGAGCTCCAACTTCCCTCGCCCTCGCGCACAAAAAGGGTTGCTTTCCTTCCCATCATGGTCGGTATCTCTTTGGCCACCTCAGCCATTGGGGCAGGGTTTTCAGGAGGGGCCTTGGGTCACTCTCTGTGGGCAATTAAAGATCTCAACATCAAACTTGAGGGAGCCCTGACATCCACTGCCGATTCCCTAGCCTCTCTCCAAAGACAGGTCACTTTGCTAGCTAAGGTCACCCTTCAAAACCGGCGGGCCTTAGATCTGCTTACAGCCGAGAAGGGCAGCACCTGCGTCTTCCTTCGGGAAGAGTGCTGCTATTACATCAACGAATCCAGCATTGTAGAAACTGACATTACCAAACTCACCAACCTTGCTTCCAGCCTCCACTCTGCTTCCAATTCCAACCCATTCTCTTCAATACTAACAAACCCCTCCTTGCCTGGCTCTGACCCATTGCAGGCCCCATAATAATCATTCTTCTCACCTGTCTCTTCTTACCCTGTATAATAAAGTTCATCAAATCCCAAGTCGGAAAAATCTCTAATCAAACTTTCAACCAGCTTTTACTCGGAACTATCAGCTTCTGGCCACAGAAGATCCCTCACCCTCACGTAACCTCCCCACCACACACTGAGATGGACCCCTCTCCCCGCTGGAAACTGTTCCTGGAAACAATGGCCACAGACCCCTGGCTCCTGACACCCATATCCTCTTGGCACCATTGGAATCAACAAGTCCTCGACCTATGGTTACAGGGAACCTTCATTGATTTCCAATCTGAAGAAGTCCACATCTACTCGTCCTTACTGTGGGGAGTCCTATCAACCCTTTCCTCCCAATCCTCAAGCCCTCACTCCCTTCTCCGCCCCCATTCAGCAGGAAGCAGCCAGAGAGAAAGCAACGTCCACAACCCCATAGAGGAGAAAGGGGGGAATGAAGGGCCCCCACCCATAAGATGGCGAACCTCCTGCTTCTCTTCCGGGTCTTTGGTTCCCGCCGGTGCCACCTGAAGCCCAATCACCTCTCGCCCCCCTAATCCCAGCACCTAGCCAATAGCCACCAGCCCCGTAGAAGTGACACCTCAATCAGCTCATGCCCCTTCCTATATAACCCAGCACCTTTCCCTAATAAAGCGGAATTCTCTGGTGAATTGCTGCTGTGTGTCATTCCTTCCTTTCAGTATTCACTTAATATATTTTTAATGTTTAATTGAATGAATAAAATAAAATCGTTACACAATTCAAATTTCAAATGAACTTTAGGACAAAACATTTAATTATCCATTAAATGTTTCAAATGGCTAGTAAGTTATGGAATTATATATAAAGTATGAAAATCATATGTATAAGCACTTTTGCCTTGATGGTTTGTTTATGGCTCATGATTGTAATCAAGACAGAAACAGTAGCCAAGACAGAAAGAGCTTCTGTGTTTGTTCACCATGAGGATCTGTTCGTTATCCTTCATAAACTGAAACTATTGAGAGTTGAACTTAATTAATGATTGTGCATGGAAACCCCAATATTGTTGTTAACAACCATTTTATCAATAAATATGAGAGATGCCTTTTCGGCACCACTCTTGCGCTGTCACGCCTTGAGTCCCCTGGCTGGTCCTTAAGATCTTTGATGAACAATCGCGTCTCTTCCCTCATCAGAGGCAGGGAGGGGACCTGACAAGTGGCACCTGAACAGGGACCTGAAAGACAGTCAAAACTAAGGGTGGAGAACCTCCGCTCAGCGGCACTTGCAATTCTAAGGCGGAGAAAGCTCTGAAGATCATCGATTCAGTAAGATTCCCAGGAAAGCGTACATAGGGAACAGGATCGAGACGTCAGGGACACTAAAATGGGCCAAACAGAAACTAAAGCAACTAAACCAGAGGATTATTTAAAATTACTCCGTGCCCTCCTAAAAACATCAGAAGTCAAAACTTCTAAAAAAGATTTTGCCCAACTCTATAAGTATATTAAAAAATATTGTTATTGGCTACCACGACAAGGGACACTTAAGCAAGCTGATTGGGATAATGTTTTAAGAGATTTTAAAAAGGCTCACAGGCAGGGAAATGTCATCCCTGTGCCTGTTTGGTCTTTACGTAATTTGACCACTCTCGCCTTGCAGCCTTTGCAAACTCCCCCACTGTCTGAAACTAAGTCAAATACACAAGAGTGCGAGAGAGAACTCTGAGATGATGTGGAAAAATCAAGTAGGCGATCTCCATCCCCACATCTACCTAACTCCTCTTCATCCTCCTCTTCCTCTTCTTCAGAGACCGAGAATGAGAGCTCTGTTCGCTCCTCTCATCATAAAAAATCCCCAGTCTCTGTTCCTGCAACGTCTGCCTTCGCGGCAGGAATACCTAAAGCTCAGAGGGAGGGTGATATAGATGTTTATGTGACACCCTTAATAGCACCAGTTAGTTTAACTCCTTTTGGGCCAGGTGAGGATCCTGATTTTCCACAAGGAGGAGTCAAAGCACTTTATACACCTATTTCTTACAAGACATTAAAAGACTTTAAACAGGCTATTTCTTCATATGGTACTAATTCTCCATATGTTTGTGGGTCTCTTGAGGGGGTTAGCAGAACAGGAAAGGATGATTCCTCATGATTGGGATTTGTTGGCTCGTACTTCTCTGGACTCTTCTGAGTTTTTACAATTTAAAACCTGGTGGTATGAGGAAGCAAAAGCACAAGCTTTGAGAAATCAGCATGCCAATCCTCCAATTCTTATAACTGCTGAACAACTAGCAGGACAAGGAGACTGGCTGCAGATAGAGAGACAAGGTAGATATGAAGAAATAGCAGTAACACAAGTACGTTTGTGTTGCTTAAAAGCCTGGGAGAAAATACAAGCAGCTGGAAAGCCTGTCTTGCCATTTAGTAAACTTAAACAAGGGCTTAATGAGTCCTATGTTGACTTTGTTGCAAGATTGCAAGATAATTTGAGGAAGACAGTAGCACATCCAGAGTTGAGAGATCTGTTGTTACAGATGCTAGCCTATGATAATGCAAATACAGAGTGTCAGAGAGTTCTTAGACCTTTAAAAGCCGCAGGAGCTAGGATGGAAGATTATATCAAAGCCTGTGCTGATATAGGTTCTCCTACATATCAAGCTAATTTACTAGCAACTGCTATGAAAGGAAAGTCAAGGAGATATGCAGGAAATTTAAAGTGTTTTGGTTGTGGCAGACAAGGCATATGAAAAAAGACTGCCAATTGCAGAAGAGAACAAAAGAGTCAAATTTTAAAGATAAACTGCCATCTGTTTGCCCAAAATGTAAAAAAGGGAGACATTGGTCTAATGAATGTCGTTCAAAATTTGATAAAGATGGTAATCCTATCAATGAATCTCAGCCTTTAAACCTCCAATCAGGCCAGCCTCTGAGGCTCTAGAAAATAATACAGAGGCATCCTCTCCAAGTAAAAGAACATGGCATGATTTACAAGCTGCAACTAAAGGAAGTACTGCTGTAGATCTTGCCTCTTCTCAATCTGTATATTTACACCCATCACAAGAAGTTCAATTACTTAGTACAGGAATTTTTGGTCCTTTACCAGCTAATTCTGTAGGATTACTTTTAGGCCATAGTAGCTGGACTCTAAAAGTATTAATAGTAAGACCTGGAGTTATTGATCAAGATTATATGGGTGAGATTAAAATAATGGTGTCATCTGATAAGGAATTATATATACCTCAAGGAGAAAGAATTGCTCAATTACTTTTACTTCCCTATCTCCCACCTTCAACAACACCTTATGAGAGAGGACAAGGTGGATTTGGAAGTACAGATAAACAAATATGGCTTAATACCAAAATTACATCTGATAGACCTCAATGCAAGATCAGTATTCAAGGCAAGTCTTTTACAGGATTGTTAGATACAGTAGCTGATGTATCTGTAATTGCTCTTAAATATTGGCCAAAAAATTGGCCCAAACAAGAGAAGCATATTCAAGGTATTGGTACAGCTCCTCAAGTATGGCAAAGTTCAGCTACCTTGCATTGTCTTGGTCCTGAAAAACAATTAGCTTTGTTAAAACCTTTAATTGTTGATGTAGCAATTAATCTCTGGGGACGAGATTTAATGCAACAATGGCATACTACATTGTCTTTTAATGAGCCTTCATCAGTTCAGTCTTTTTCTTAGGGGTCATTGATAAACGGCTGCCAGCTCCTATACCATTACAGTGGACCACTCAGACGCCTGTTTGGGTGAATCAATGGCTCCTCAATAAAGAAAAATTGGCAGCCCTACACACATTAGTTCAAGAACAACTTCAGTTAGATAGGTTAGAATTTTCCACGAGTCCACGGAATTCTCCTGTATTTGTTATAAAAAAGAAATCAGGAAATTGGAGACTTTTACAAGATTTAAGACAAATTAATGCAGTTCTTAAACCTATGGGACCTTTGCAACAAGGCCTCCCTTCTCCAACTATGGTTCCAAAAGACTGGAACATGGCTATAATTGATCTTAAAGATTGTTTTTTTACAATTCCTTTAGCTATAATGGACAGGGAAAAGTTTGCTTTTACTGTCCCTTCTTTAAATTTGCAGGCACCTTCAGAAAGATTCCAATGGAAAGTACTTCCTCAAGGAATGTTAAATAGCCCTACAGTTTGTCAAAATTATGTGCATAGAGCTCTTCAGCCTATACGTGAAAAATGGTCTTCAGCTTATATCATTCATTATATGGATGATATTCTCATAGCCCTGCCTAAGCATTTATCTCTTACCAATATTCTCAATGAGACTGAAACTGAGTTAAAACAATGGGGATTCCAAATAGCGCCAGATAAAATACAGATACAATACCCAATGAATTATTTGGGAAATAAAATGCAAGAATATTCAATAATTCCTCAGAAAATTCAAATTAGGAGAGATCATCTTAAAATTTTAAATGATTTTCAAAAGCTCTTAGGAGATATTAATTGAATCCGACCATTATTAGGAATTCCTACTTATAAATTACAACATCTTTTTAATATTTTAAAAGGACCCTCAGATCTTAATAGTCCTAGAGACTTAACTCAAGTGGATAGAACAACACATTCAAAAAGCTCAATTATCAAAAATTGACTTACACAAACCCTTACTTTTATTAATCTGCTTTATACTCCTCATTCTCCTACAGGATTGCTCTGTCAATGTGATGGTTGGTTAGAATGGATATTTCTGCAGTATCAAATTAAACCCTCCTTACAACCTTACATTGAGAAAGTAGCCTCCATTATCCTTAAAGGACAACAGAGACTAAGACAGATGATTGGTCAAGACCCTCACTCTATTATTGTTCCTTTATCTAAACAAAATATTATGCAAGTATTTCAAGAAAATACTCACTGGCAAATTGCACTTTCAGATTATTTAGGAAATAATGACTGTCATTACCCTAAGAATAAGTTATTTTCATTTTTTCAGCTCCATCAATGGATCCTTCCTCATAAAACTTCTCCTAATCCATTATTAAATACTGTTACCTGTTTTACAGATGGTACAAAATCTCTTAAAGCAGCCTATATAACTTGTTCTGGTTTGCCAAAAACTTTTCAAACATCTTTTACTTCTGCACAACAAAATGAGTTATATGCTGTGTTGCAAGCTTTGCAAGATTTCCCAGGTCCTGTAAATAGTGTTACTGACTCTGTTTATGCTGCTTTTTCTGTTCCTCTATTAGAAACTGCAACATTGGGCACCGTACAATCTCCTATTAATACTTTATTTTCTCAATTACAGGTGTGTATCCGTCAACATCTACATCCCTTCTTCATTACTCATATACGATCACATTCTAATTTACCAGGTCCTTTATCATATTATAATGATAAAGTAGACAAGCTTGTTTCTTTAGTTACTTACTCACCAGCTCAACGATATCACAACCTGACTCATGCTCCTTCTTTCACCTTACAGAAGCGTTTTTCTCTTTCTGCATCTGAAGCTCACAATATTTTGAATTCTTGTCCAACCTGTTCTCAAATTAATTCTCCTTGTTTGCAAGCAGGAACTGTTCCCAGGGGAACACGTCCTAATGCTCTATGGCAAATGGATGTTACTATTGTTCCTGAATTTGGAACTCTTAAGCATGTTCATGTTTCTATTGATACTTATTCTTCCGCTTCGTGGGCAACAGCTTTACCAGGAGAACGATCTCATCATGTTATCACTCATCTTTTACAAGCATTTGCAATACTAGGCATTCCTGCCACCATAAAAACTGACAACGCTCCAGTTTACCTCTCCTCTACGCTAAAGAGATTTTTTCAGCTGTATAATATTATTCATAAAACAGGCATTCCTTACAATTCTATAGGTCAAGCTCTAATTGAAAGTCGTCATCTTACTCTTAAGCATTATTTGCTAAAACAAAAAGGGGGATTACTCACAGATATGATAAAATTAACAGCAAATCAATACTTAATGCATGCTTTACATGTTCTTAATTTTGATCTTTTCAAAAGTGATGGACGATCAGCTATGGAAATACATTTTTCTGACAATGTTTCTTTTCCTGAAACAACAGCAGTTCCTGTATGGTGGTCTCCAATAGGTTCTTCACAGTGGTATAAAGGTCATATCAAAGTGTGGGGCAAAGGGTTTGTTTGTGTCATTACAGAGGATCAATGCTTGATTTGGCTACCCAGAAAAAGAATTAAGATACGATATGAAGAAGAACTTCCAATATCAACATCCTCAGAAAGAGCTGCTCCAGAGGATGGCCACCAACAAACTTCACCACTGGAATGAAGCCTCCTGGATAGTGAAGTTTCTACTTCTAATATTGGTGATAACATTCACACATACACACACTGCACAAGCTTGCACTATTACAGCTAGTGTGAGCAGTCCTCCATATTTAGGCCGAAGAGTAGTCCTTCAGTGTGTATCCACCTGTTCTACTCCTGTAGGTCCTGTAGTGTGGAAAAAAGATGGCAAAGAGATATATAGACAAAAGTATGGAGGAAAGCTTGGATGGAATAATGCAACTGATCAGTCTAAAAGAGACAACAGTCGCTATGATATTTATAAAACAGTTTTGACCAGAAATGATATTGGCAATTATTCCTGTGAGAAATATCAAAAAGAATCTCCTGATATATAAAAGTAGTTATGTCTACTTAGACATATCACTCTCTCCAGAGCAGGAATTTTCTTCACCTAATATGTGGCTACAACTTGCAAGTCGAGGACTGAACAAGTCGTCTTTTTGTGTAGCAGGAGATTCCTCTATTAGTGGATTATTAAAGAAAAATTTAATAGGTATAGGACTCCCTTTTTCTGTTTTCGCTAATATCTCAGGAATAAACATTACTCACTATCCTAAAGTTCTTACTCGTGAAGTTCAATTGAACTTACCTGTCAGTACTACTATAGTTTCTGAATGTATATGCATTAATTGCACTCATTCCTTCTTACTGTAATGCTACTATTCATGTAAAATGGCCTTTTGGGTATAGACTTCCAAATGGCTGGGTATTTTTATGCAATAACAAAACATATCAAGCCTTTTCTTCACATTATCAAGGTGTTTGTGGAGTAGGACGTATTCTTCCTGCTCTTATAGACCATCTTGGATATAAGCACAGACAGATTTCTCGAGCTCTGTCACCTGATTGCGATGACAACTTGAAGTTGTTGGATCCTGTTGTTGTAGCTGTCGCTGCTGCACTCATCTTACCGGTTCCAGGACTCGTTGTAGGAATGCAGAACGAAATATCCAAGATGGCCTGTGCATACAGTAAAACAACAAATCTGACTGCTTCTGTTTTATCTGAACTCAACCAAGAACTGGGAGAAGTACGAGTTGCAGTACTTCAAGACCGCGCTACTATAGACTTTCTATTGTTAAAAGAACATATGGGATGTGAACAGTTTCCAGGCATGTGTTGTTTTAATCTGTCTGACTTTTCTCAAACTATTCACAATCAAATAGACAATATTCATCATATTATTGATAAGTTTTCTCAAATGCCTGAATTACCTAAATGGTTTTCTTGGTTTCACTGGATATGGCCAGTAATTGTAGGCCTGTTTCTTTTGTGTATTTGCCTTCCAGTCTTGATAGCCTGGATGCGTCATATAGTCACCAGTTTGTTGAAATCAATGCATGCTTATGCTACTTTCCTGGAAGTGATGTCTAAAAAATGATTGTTTTTTGTTTGCATTGTTACTCATGAAAGTCCATGCACTAAATCTTTGTATTTTGTGATTTCTATGATTAAGGCTGGACATAAGAGTGAGAGTATGAAAACAAACATCAGTCTACTCCTAATGCCTCCTTTTTCCACACGTTCTCTCCCTGTGTGGCCCCAGGAGATGGCTGGTTAGCCAGAGATGGGTAAGATTCCTCATGGGAGGAACAACCTAAGACAGGCACAGTCATAAAGGGTCAACAGGTGAGGAGGTGGGGGCCAACTGAGGCGAGGCTTAGAACCTCGTCCCCCCATTTACATGAGGCATTCTTTGTTGCTTTTGTCCAGCTAAGTTGATATTTAAAAAATTAAGAACGGATCTTTCGCTTGAGTTACAACAATCATTATCTTGAAGCCTTTTAAAAACAAAAAGGGGGAAATGTGGGAATTATATGGAATTATATATAAAGTATGAAAATCATATGTATAAGCACTTTTGCCTTGATGGTTTGTTTATGGTTCATGATTGTAGTCAAGACAGAAACAGTAGCCAAGACAGAAAGAGTTTCTGTGTTCGTTCACCATGAGGATCTGTTCGTTATCCTTCAGAAAGTGAAACTGTTGAGAGTTGAACTTAATTAATGATTGTGCATGGAAACCCCAATATTGCTGTTAACAACCATTTTATCAATAAATATGAGAGATGCCTTTTCGGCACCACTCTTGCGCTGTCACTCCTTGAGTCCCCTGGCTGGTCCTTAAGATCTTCGATGAACAATCGCGTCTCTTCCCTCATCTGCGGGTCAGAGGCAGGGAGAGGACCCGACAGTAAGTTAACCTAGAAATTATAAACACTTTACCTATTTAAAATATGAAGAGTAGAGGTATAATTAGAGTAAGAGCATAACCAGATTATTCTTGTACTTTTCTACCAATGGTTAGTTGTATAGGTAAACTTTAGCATATGCTTTTAGTAATTAAAAATTAAACATCCTTCTGGAATTCTAACGGACTATAAGACAAAATGCTATCTATCTGTTCAGTTATTACTGAGGTAGAAAAGCAGGTATAAGAAACTGATTATTAGTAATCGGTTAGGTGAGTTAAATCAATGTGTCAAGAAAATTAACTGCTTGCTAGAAAGAAGCTGTTTATCTGTGATGTTAGACATAAAGCAGAGAAGCAGAGTCATTTGGGAAGTGAATGTGATTGATGGAACACTCTTCTTTAGCATTAACTTTGAGTTCTATAATCAGCAAGGTGAAACAATTTATCAATATGCTCTATCAACTGCTAAAACTAATAATTGTACCAAAGAATTCTTTTAACTTTACTTTTACTCATTCTCATATTGTTGAAGCTCTTACATACATACATAAGGGGCTGTACTAAGTAAGGAGCTGTCAGGGATGGAAGTGCAGCATGGAAAATATAGTTGATGGTTTTGTAACATCTTTCTATGTTGATAATAACTGTGCACCAGTTGGGGGTGAGGATTTAATAATGGGTGTAACTGGTGAATTACTGTGCTGTATTCTTGAAACCAATATACTTCAATAAGAAAGAAAGAAAGAAATAACTGCACCTTAGCAAGCAGGGTCATGATCTATTTAGCTCAGCAGCAGGGCTTGGTGTAGAGCTGGGCATTTAGGGTTAAATATGAGACATTAGAGGGATATTATGTGAAAAAATCACACCACATAGACTAAGCTGAAATCTATCAAGAATAGAGTTAGTTCAATATAAAATGCACTGGAACTAGCTAAGTGTTTAATAATGATCCTAGCTAAGTGTTTTGAAACTTTTCCTCCAATAATACCTCCAAGAGTCTCCTGAACATCCCATTTCCCAACTTGTCAGAAGTTCAAGTTTAACATTTAAATTCTTAGTAACCCAACTAAGCTACTTCACAGAGGATTCAAAAGTCAAATCTCCCCATTCATAGAGCTCCCAGTCCAGCCTGCTACTACCAAACCTTTTCATAAATTCCCTGCAATAATCCCAGCGTAGGCAGAGGATGGGGGTTTGCCCTTCCCCTCCCGTTGCCCTTGCAGTCTGCAGAAATGCAGAGCAGAGGAGGGTGGGTTCATCCCTTGCTTCTTAAAAGCAGCTGAGGTCCTCTAACTGGGAAGCCATATCGGGCCCCAGAGTCAGCTAGCTTCAGAACACACACGTCAGTCTTCGGCTCTGACCCTCTGCCTCTCCTTTGCTCTGCACCCTCCTCTGTTTCTCTCCTCCCCTGGCAAAACAAAAACAAAACAAAATCAAACAAACAACAGTATCTTTTCTCCTCTCCAGGGTGCTGAAGGGATTAAATAAGGTAATACAGGTAGTGCTCTTTAAATAGGTGTAAACAGTGTTCAATATATTGCAGTGATGATGTTATTTTAACTATTTAAACTTGTGTTAGGTGTTATAAATATATTGTGAAGGAAAGGAAAGGGGAGGATGAGGCCGTCCAAGACCCCCAAGATAGGCCTGTGCCGAGAGTGTTGACTTCAGTTTATCTCTACCCACGTAGGGCATGGGTTATGTGTGCATTCTGTCCCTATATTCCAGCACATGCCCAGTGTATAAGTGTTGAATTTTTTAGTTTGAAAAACACTGGTCTAATGAAAAAAGTAGCCTAAAATGAAATTATGGCCCTAATCATAGATCTGACTCTGATATTTGAGCAATTTATTTAACTCCATCTTGTCTTAGTTTATTACCTTGTTGGGATTAATGAGGAAAAATGAGAAACAGCACACCTGCCACAGTACAAATGGAAACTAAGACATGGAAATTAGATTTTTTTTTCGTAGGAACATTAAGTAAAATAGATATAGTAGCACCCACCTTTCAAAGGGTTACTTGGAGAATTAGGAATAATACATATCAAACCTTTGCACCATGACTGATATAAAATAGGAGGCCAACAAATTATTGCTATTATTTTATCATTATTATTACTGAGGAATTTAAAGTAATTTCTGCCTCTTATAAAAGGATATGACAGAACAGCTGTGCAAACAGTGTACAAGTTGCTTTAAATTAACAGAAAATGTTCACATCTCACCTTTCAGGAGTCCATTGTGTTCTTATTTGCTAAATGAGGACACCATGTGCAGTGGAAATGAGTCAATTCTGTCCAGCCTACCTTAGGATGTTATAAAATTTGGCTTATTGTTAATGAGCCATAGTCAGTGCTCTTTAAGACTCACACTGATGTGTTTTATCAGAATTGCATTACAAATAAAAACGATGTTTATTTTTATCACCATACCTTTAGATTCATCAATGGTATAGATATCACTCTACCACTAAGAAACTCCCAAAGCAAATATTAATCTATCTACAGTCTTATCATTTAGTCAGTCTAAATACGTTACCACCAGCTTAGGTGATCTTTTTGAAAGTTCTCTTATACATATGAAGTACATTACACTTGTTTAATTGGTTCTCATCGTGTTATAAGCTTATTTGATCCTCATACTGCCCCTCTGAGAGGTTTAACTAGGTATTATGCTCTCTATTTTACAGCTCAAAAAACTGAGATGTCATAAAGTTTAAGTGACTCCCACAGGGTCAGTGATTAAGATAGAACTATAATCCAAATTTCTGAGTTTACCTTCTT